TTTTCAGGTCTGCATGCAGCCAGGCATTGAGCGTGCGGGTGGTCCCGACAAGGTTACCGGTGGTCGCGGGACTTCCGAGGAACTTTTCCGGTGGTTGTCGAATGATAGCCGGCGACTAGGGGCTATACATATATTTTTTACAGGGTTAAATATATATATTCATCGGGTTCGATTTACCTCGGATCTTCTGTTTTATGACCCAACATCTTCTCCCTTCATCTTGGTGGGCAACGATCACGGAGATATCTCGATTGGGATTTTCTAGAGAAGAAGAAAAGACTTTTGACGGCAATCTTTTTATGTATGCTAGCACTGAAAAATAACATATAAACCATCAAAGAAAATACATTCATCTAAAAAATAAATAAGTCGAAAAATATATGCAAGCAAAGAAATTAAGTATATAAAAAATACACCATTAAATATATAAAACATGCATATTTTTTTACCTATTAAAATACAACTGAAGGCTTGAGGTGACATGCATCGCACGACGCACACGACACAAAAAAAGTATTGTACGACGCACACCGCGAGGCGGGACGCACGCAGCGATGGTGAGCACCGATACCAGACGAGACACGATCGACAAGATGAGGCGACGAACGAGGACGTGAGACAAGAAGTCAGGGTCATTCGTCCAGTCCCGTAGGTCATGTAAGTCTGTATAGAGTCGGCTTATACAAAACCGTAAGATCTTGATCCTAAACCTTAGAATTCGTTGCGCTTAGGATTAATTTTAGAATTCGATTACTGAACAATAACCGAGTTATTTCACCGAATCCAACAAAAAGAATGGTGGTATTTCTTGTACTATACATAGACAATATCCTGCTCACTGAAAAAAAATGTAAAGATATTATCATATGTAAGAGTATGGTTATCCAAGCAGTTGCATACGAAGGACTTTGGACAAGTAGAACATGTTCTTGAGATCAAAGAATCACAAGAAACTAATATTGTGTTTATCCTAAACATAGTACCTAGATTATTTACATACGGCTCAACATGCGTAACTCCAAGAAAGTCTTTGAACCTTTATGGAAAGGAGTTGTTATATTTGAGGAGATATGTCGCAGGACATCTAAAGAGATAGAGGAGATGAAAGTAGTTCCATATGTTTTGGCAATAAGAAGCCTATTGTGTTTGACGCTGTGATGAGGCCGAATAAATATTTTGCAATTGACATGGTTAGTATATATCAAAGTAACCCTAGACAGGCGCAATGTTTTGGGATAAAAATATAGTGAAGTGACTTGAGAAGAACTAAGAATTATATGTTGTCTTATCAGGTGAACCATATGCAACATATGGGTTACTCGAATCTTGATTGTCGATCAGACATGTACAAGAGTAAATCTACCTTGGGTTATTGGAAAGTGGGAGAATGTTGGTTGGTATATTGAAAGGTTTGATTTAGTTTAAACTAATTTCTAACTTTTAATGAGAATCGAGATTAGTCAAAGTAATACATTTTATAGCAATACGGATTGTTCAATTATTTTATATTGTAGATAATATGGTTCATCGCAGAATATCATATCATTGATGTCTTGTAACATATAAATGGGGTTCGCAATCCAGCCATAATTGAACTGACTATCGTGAAAAATTGTAATGTAATTTTATAATTAGTTGATCCTGGCTAATGCATAACACTAGTAAACTAATGTAATTTTATAATTAGTTGATCTGGCTAATGCATAACACTAGTAAACTAATGTAATTTTATAATTAGTTGATCCTGGCTAATGCATAACACTAGTAAACTAATAGTACATTGAACAAGAGCGCGAAGGATAACTTTATTTTATACTAACCATATAAATGAACTAGATCTCAGTTATTACTCTTACTCTAAATATGTAATATATTAATGAGCATGTGTATTCATTTTGTGTTGCTTTAATTTTTAAAAGAGTGAGATTCATTCATTAAATTAATAGACTCTGGAAGTTGAGTATTAGCGTTGTTTATATGATGTGGTATTATTATTTACTGACACTGTGTCATGATGCGTCAGGTTGATGTTATCCGCAAACTGTGCTAAAGAAGTTTATTATGATAAACCCTTGGATTAAGCCCGACATAATAAGGTTGAATTGTATTAGTTTCAGAAACAAGAAGTTAATTATTTAAAACTATCAGTAATTAAATTAATTAATGAACATCATATCTTAAACATGTGGAGATAAATTGAGTAAATAAATCTGGAGCCCAGTGTAACTTGGGGTTAGAGAAGAAGTTCAATAATAAATCTTTAGTGTACTAATTTATTATTGATGGACTAAGCTGAAGGGTAGCCCCAAACCAAGTACATCTGAACTTACCAGGAGTCCTACTTTAACATCTCCTTAGGGTATCAGCTATAGCCTATAAATACTCCGTGAAACTCATAATTTTGGACAGAGTTTTCCCTTGGAAAAATAACATGTATAACGTGTGGGTAGACATGACCATGGGATGAACCGGCCCAAAACTGGCTTGTGGTCAACATGCCTTTAATCGAGCATGTGGTTAGATCGGGTCGATTCCGGGCCAAATAAATGTATATTTTAAACCGTCGGGCCGGTTCCGACTTGGAACCAGAACCGGCGTTTAGAATTTTTTTTTTTTATTATTATTATTTTAATGAATGGGCGCGCCCTGAATGGTCGAATTCCCTGAACCGGCCTATGCATTTTGTGTCGGTTCAGGGCCTCCAACTCTTGGCCCAAAACTAGCGATTCCAATCCAAAACTGGTTTTGGTCATATCTACTCGTGGGTCTCAGAGAGAGAAAACAAAACGTGGGATTTTGGAAAGAGGGAGAAAGATTGTGTTTCCTAGATATAGTAAGAGTTTAACACAAGAAGTCTTCTTCCTTCTTTTTGGTAACCAAATGTATGTGAGATTGTGTGTGAAATGATTTCATAAATCATCGTCCACACGACGTTTGGATCTGGTGATGGAAAATACAACATAGGGTGCTGAGGTAGTGCTTGAACAAGGAAACCCAAATAATTTTCAGTCAGTTTTCATCAATCACTATTTTTAACTCAAAATTTAACTCAACCTCATTATCCTCAATACTATCAATATAATTAAATAATACCAATCAAGTATCCTTATATACCACATCAACTTTAATTCATTATTCATGAACTCATATAATTTTAACTATTTATCACTTCCAATCACCTATCTCCTTTATATTAAATCAAATTTAATTGTTTTATTTTAAATATTATTTTAATACAAACTCAAATTTCACTCAAACCTAACTAAACCAACTTTTTAAAAATTAACTATAGCTAACAAAAAAAAATCAACCAAAACTATAATATCCAATCACAAACTTATATCCAAGCATACCCTAAAGTCTCGCGGCTAGTGCTCTCACATTGACCGTGAATCGCCTGTGAGTCAACATAAAATTTTAAACGATATGAGTTCAACCATAACTATAGATTTCCACTTTGCTTAAGATAAATTTGCAGATTTCAAACATTCACATTGACCAACATTCTTCACCGAACCCAATGCCTTGCTCGTTCCTTCAATGTCTAAAATCCACGAACTCAAACTCGATGAAAACAAATAAGAATACGATAAAGGCATGTGAAATTTTATTCTCTGTAAGAGGAAATTGACATCGATTAGTGTCAACAACTAGAAAGAAATGTCCTAAAAATAAAATGACTTTTATCTTGTGTATAATTCTTCAAATATGCAAAATCTTCGGTGAACCTAATCTTGTTTAGAACACTGGAGAAAAGAACAAAACCAATGAAGACAAGATGCTCATGAACTATCTCATGTTCAACCATTTTTTCTTATCGTTATGTTAAGTTTGTATTAGAACCGGGGAAGAGGATGCGGTCCCACCAGATAAAGCGCACCATAAGAGGGTGAGTCTAGGTACACCTTAGTGAGGTTCCATCTCAAAACCAATTGGTGATGGAAGGAGTAGCCCACTAGGCTTATAAACTAGGCTCATTTGCCCTGTATAATCAATGTGGGACAACTCATAAGTGATATTTCAACAGTTTGCCATGAATAATTCACTCATTCGGGTACTTACAGATGCTGAAAAATGTTACCAGGAAATTTGAACTTACAAACACATCTGGGAGACTGGGACGCATTTGGATGTGAACAGACGCACTCAAAAGCCATGAAAGAGTTCTTGGGCACTAGGATATGTTACTCGTCATGGGATCGAACCGGTGGAGCACCCAAAGGATCTAAAATCTTCGCGTACTGTGTTGCGGAGGACCATCACATGCGCAACGGGTGTCATGGGCCATGATAGGACTGAGCGCCCATCCGTGGGCACTCGTGTTTGCTTAGAAGTGTGCACCCCAGTGAGTTTCAACAAGCTGTCCCATGGCGGGCTGTCACAATCCTGCATGCTTTCCAAGCTTGGTGAGCGCCTCAGTAGTGTGCGACCATCAATTCCAGCTACTAGAGGGCAATCGAGTGCTTGCGAGCCCGAGTGCTCGCCTGAGCTCGATTACACCTAAATGCAACTAACGTAAAGATTTAAGCTTAATATATTCTCATGTTTTAATTTATTTCTATTATATAGTTAATCCTTTATTTGTCTTAGACTCTTAGTAGTATTAAAATTTTCTATATTTTCCATTTTAGAGAATTGAGCTTCAATACGAAACCAAATTTAATTAGTTGGTGGGATGCGTCAAAGTAATGTTGATCCGACCAGATTCATTCATTTCACTGCCAGCATGACCAACCAGATTAATTTCGTCCATTAATTTATTTTTTGTTTTGCATGTGCAACGACCACAGGATTTCAGACTTCTATCCCATGACGTGCTTTTGAATTTAGTTAGCAAATTACCCTCACCAAACGGTGGTTGCTGATTAAACGGATAGTGCAAGAAATTCAAGTAATGATATAACTCTGAAATATCTTCCCATCATCTCGTCAGAACAACGGACCTAAACAGAGTAGGATGGCCTGTGCTATCCAAATAAGTTCATCTTAAACCGTTACAACTGGCGTTCATAACTTTAATTTACCCGTCACATAAAAAGAAATTGAGATCAGAAGTACCCTAAACACTATATCCCTCGGATTGAGTGATCGTGAATTCGTGATAATCTGTGCTAAAATCAACATGCACAACACTGAGTTGTATTGTATGAACAAGTCATAGAATATAGCACCCGCCCATCAAATACATGCTTTTACATTTCCAATTCGATTGTTCCTTATAACTGACACTAACATACGTACAGAAATGAAAACACTATCCAGTTTTTATGTAAAAAGGAAAAAAAATTGCAACATTAATCAATCTCTATTGATCATCCAGTTTTTATTGATACTCACGCAACACCATATTTACTTGGGAAGCCGAACATATATCATCAACGTGGTGGCTGAGCTGCCATGAGCGTGAGACGCTCCTCCTCAGTGAGAGAGTGGCGGAAGTGGCAGCGGTGGCCGTATGGGCAGATGTCGCCAGAGAGCACCATGCGGCAGACCTCAGTCTTGTAGCGCGGGTGCCTGATCACTGGCCTCAGCTCATTGATACCATGCGCGAATTGGCAATTGTCACCATACGGGCATGTCCCAGACTCCTGCCACTTGTTGCACAGCTCGGTTTTGAGCATTCCTTGGTTGTACACGTCGAGCTCCAGAGCTTCTTCTTCCTTTTTTGCCCCTGGTACATACACCCTTTGCTGCTGTTGCTGCACGATTTTAAGGACCCGAACGAAACCAACGTAATTACCACAATTAGTATATGGTGATGGGATGTGATGTGATTATAACAATGCATATATATTCAGAAGAATTCAGTGGCAATTGCAATGTTTACGATTCATATGATGATATGACTTTCCAGTGACCATGTGCTTCTGAAATTCCGCTTCTCACGTTTGCAATTGATTGATCCCAATTTAGATGGGGATACTTTTACATAAAGGTACCAATTTGAATAAGGAATGAGGTAGTTGTTTAATCTTCGAAATGAGGAAATTAATTTGCGATTAATTGTGAAACAGAAACAATTAGAAATGGATCCGGTGTAACATTGATAGCATTTTTCGACATGCGTGTATAGAAATGGCAAAAGTAATCAATAGCAGCAGACCGGCTCATAGAGTATGTTAAAGTAGCCTCGAATAAATACAGCTTTACCAAATCGTCTTTTCCAGCATTTGTCAAATAAATTAATATATTATAAAGCAATTCATAGTGCCGCACACTCTGAAACAAGCGAACGAGAAATACTACTACAGTGGCAGACCGACTTGACTCAGAGAAGATAGGATTGACTCACTGATTTCTGTCGAGTCGTGTCGCGATTCGGCCGAGTCAGCTTCAGATAGCCTTTGGAACGCACCGAAATGCTCTTGGGAAGCGAGACCCGCTCGGTGTTCTTCCGATCGAACCGATTTTGCTCAGTAATCATAGATCTGAGTTGAGGAGAAGCGGCGCGAGTAGGCGGAGCAGCAGCTGGAGAGGAGGCGAGATTGAGGCGGCTGAACTCCGACAGCAGCCGATCGCGAGAGAAGAGCAGGGCGACGCGGCGGGAGAGCTCGGCGTTCGACAGGCGGAGCTCGTCGTTCTCGCGGCGGAGGGCATCGGCTTCCTCGATCGCGTCCTGGAGTTGCGCGAGGCACAGCGTGTAGCGGTTGTAGAGCTGCTGGTACTCAAGGATGCATCTGGAGTCGCGTAGGCGGCGCTCGGCGTCCCCGCCACCGTCGGAGATCGAGCTCGGGGAGCAGCTCTGGAACAGCGAGGTGTAGAAGGCAGCATCGGAGTTCAGGTATTCATAATCGGCCGGAGAGGTAGGAGAGAGAAACGGATTGATGCTCCGGGAGAAGCGCGGCGACGGCGCGACGGCGCCGGCGGCGGATTTGGCGGCGGTTTCGAATGAGGCGTTCTCCTTCTGCATCTCACCGGTGGATTTTTGCAGAAGCGACTGAAAGGAAAAGCCGCGTGAGGGGTATTCAAACAGGCGCTAGTGGAGTATATATAAAGAGGGGGAAGGAGAAAGTATCTGGTGTGTGGCGGTGCAGGATAGTTTGTGATTGTTGCAGCGATGTCAACTTGGGAATTTAAAGCATGTCCGTTGATCTTAACAGGGTCCATTTGGTTAAGGAAAAGTTAATTGCTTGGAATAAAAGTGTTTTGAATTTTTTGGCGGGGGTGAAGAACAACACTTTGGTGGTGGGTGTGGCCAAAACCGTTACAGATCTGGTGTTTTGGGTGGTTGCGTATTTCTTTTTCTTTTAATAATTTTTTTTATATGAATCTCAGCTTCAACGAAATTCTAATAAAAAAAATAAAGCATTTTATT